GCAGGTGTCGGTCCGGGGGGGGAGAGGGGGACTGGGGCATGGTGCTCAGGTACCACTCCCTGTTCTCCTCCAGAGTGTCCAGCAGCTCCTGAGCGTCCGGGTGCACCAGGTCCGCCCACGTCTCCCACAGCGGGTGCACGATGTAGTCGATGAAACCCACCTGGAGGTGAAGAAATTATAAAGGAAATGATTAGACATTTTGAAAAAAAAATTGTTTTAAAGGTCACCTATTATGCAAAATCCACTTGTTCATGTCTTTTCTACATCAACATGTGTCCCCTCTTCTTCATGTCTCTTCTACATCAACACGTGTCCCCTCTTCTTCATGTCTCCTCTACATCAACATGTGTCCCCTCTTCTTCATGTCTCCTCTACATCAACATGTGTCCCCTCTTCTTCATGTCTCCTCTACATCAACATGTGTCCCCTCTTCTTCATGTCTCTTCTACATCAACATGTGTCCCCTCTTCTTCATGTCTCTTCTACATCAACATGTGTCCCCTCTTCTTCATGTCTCTTCTACATCAACATGTGTCCCCTCTTCTTCATGTCTCTTCTACATCAACATGTGTCCCCTCTTCTTCATGTCTTTTCTACATCAACATGTGTCCCCTCTTCTTCATGTCTCTTCTACATCAACATGTGTCCCCTCTTCTTCATGTCTCTTCTACATCAACATGTGTCCCCTCTTCTTCATGTATTTTCTACATCAACATGTGTCCCCTCTTCTTCATGTCTTTTCTACATCAACATGTGTCCCCTCTTCTTCATGTATTTTCTACATCAACATGTGTCCCCTCTTCTTCATGTCTCTTCTACATCAGCATGTGTCCCCTCTTCTTCATGTCTCTTCTACATCAGCATGTGTCCCCTCTTCTTCATGTCTCTTCTACATCAACATGTGTCCCCTCTTCTTCATGTCTCTTCTACATCAACATGTGTCCCCTCTTCTTCATGTCTCTTCTACATCAACATGTGTCCCCTCTGTGGAAAGAGACTCTGAAAGTTTCAGGAAAAAAGATTGTCTCTCTTTTTGTCCTGATCCATTTCTATAAAAACCTGTCTGAAAATGAGCTGATCAGATTTTGGCCACTTTATGATGTCATAACGATTTTTTTGGCTTGAGTAACCATTAGCCAATCACCAACCAAGGTAACCCCCCCCACACCTTATCACCTGAATCTCCTCCTAGAGCACCATTGAGTTCTTTGTAACCAAATATCTCTCAGAGGGGCGTGGGGAGGGGCTCCTTGTTTTCATCTAAAGTCACAGACAGAGAATCAGCACTTTGGAAACAGGGCTGAAACAGAGGGGATTATGGGTAATGCTGCAATGATCTGTTTGGTGTTTCAACACTTCAGAGACATATTTGTATATATATCTGAGAACTATAATAAAGTAATGAAAAACAGCATAATAGGTGACCTTTAAGAGAGGATTGATATAAATCCAATGTTGTGAATGTATTGTAACCTCATACTACTCTTTTCTCTTTCTGGTTGGATGCAAACTGCATTTCGTTGTCATGACACTAAAGCTTGAAATATCTCAACCGCCTAATATTTTGTTATGGTTTCAAAAACTGATGTCAATCCTTCCATTGGAGCGGATGTCACACGTGCTGCGAGGAACTCTGGATGAAGTTGTTAGAGACTGATCCCTAATTGCACCCTACATGAAGGAAGAATGGTCAAGTGTTATAACTGGGTGTAAATATAACTAGTGACACATGACACATGAGTACTAGGTTGCTACTGTTGCTGTTTGTCTGATTTTGTTGTTGTTTGTTGTTAATTTTTGGGGGGGTTTTATTATGTTGTGTTGTCCCTAATGTTTTTTTGTTTTGTCTCACCTGAAAATAAAATAATATATATTTTAACTTTTGCCTTGACTGCAATTAATTTGAATACAGATATTCAGTACCCCCTAATAATAATTGTAATAGTCTTTGTGATTCTTTGACTTTCACTCAAGCGTGATCATGAGGTCCAATGTAAAATGAATAGTTCACGCTTTAAAAACAGGTTCCATTTAATCAATTTGGATTAGTTATATTAACAGCTACACATTTAGCCCGTATGGAAAAGAGGGATAAAGCGTTACCTGGCTCTTCTCCACGGAGGCGGTGTGTTTGTCACACATGGCGCTGATCTCCATGCCTCTCTCCCTCTCCTTGTCTCCCTGTCTGAAGAACTCCTCCATGATCCTCTCGGTCCACTGCCTGTAGAGCGGCAGCGCCTTGGTGGGGTTGCTCAGGTCTGCACAGTGCACCATGTTCCTCAGCACCTGCACACACACGGAACATAGTATTCAATAATATATTCACACACACGGTTGGGAGGGCTGCTCTTAAAATGTTTACCAATACAATTACCTATTACAAATTGAGTAAGTAATCTAATCCACGTAACACAATGTTAAAGTGATATACCTTTTCAACCATTTTGTGAGACTTGTTTTAATAATAATAATACATTTTATTTGTAAAGCACCTTTCATTGCTAAAAGTAATCCCGAAAGTGCTTCAAGGGTCATAGAACAAAAGAAACACACGTTTAATCAAAGGCTTTTTTTTAAATAATTTTTTTTAGGCCTTTCTTAAAGTGGACCTATCATGCTATATTTGAAAATATATTGTAGGGCCATACATATACAAAACATGTCTGTGAAGTTTTTTTTTCAAAATACCAAACAGATCACCCATTGTAGCCATGCCTCATACTGCTCATACCCCTCTTTTGCAGCCCTGTTAGAGAAACGTGGATCTTGGGTCCTTAGCTTGAAAAAAATAAAGAAGAGGAGGCGGAGCTAATGCCTGATCAGAATTATTCCGGAGATAAAGGTCAATTCTGCTGTGATAAAATGCCATCCTGTTCTAAACCACATCAAGGATTATTTCTGAAACAGTATGGAGCTCAAATGCTTTTTCTCTTGCAGGTTTATCACAAGGTGAGTTCTTTTTTTATTTCCTGCTTTTTAAACACATGTGCTCTACAGCATAGATATATATAAACACTAGATGACTCACCCGCGCTGCTGGCCAATGGAGACCGACGTTGCCACATGGCGGCCATCTTGCCACAGGCAGCTCGCTCATTCATAACATTATGTCTATGGTGCACTATTGAAATAACCGTAGATTGCTCAATTTTCAACCAATTTTCAAACGGTGTGGTTCGTTATAAACATCAAAGATGTAGTTATGATACTTATAATTATAATCATTAACTTTTTTTTTCAACATGTCTTGTTGTCTCCTGTATCATAGCCATGATAATAACGTTTATAATAAACCAAACCGTTTGTAAATCAGTCAAGATTTCAGCGAGTTAAGAGTATTTTTGTGCAGATCACTCACCTCACAACAGCTGTAGCAGTAGTTGTTGACTGTGGCAAGATGGCCGCCGGTGAGCTACGCTGGCGACTCCCTCTTGAGCCATCTAGTGTTTATATATATCTATGCTCTACAGTACAGGTTAGCTCTGAGTGTTAGCTAGGCTTGCTAATGTAAACAAAGACGAGGTTACATCCAAAACACGTCAGGCATTGTTTCTGATAGCAACTGTCTGTGGGTCCGCCGCCGATTTGACGTCAATTTGGATGGAATCTGTATCCGCTCGTTGTACACCCGTTTTTAAAAGATTTGGGTACGAAGGAAAAGAGAGAGGGTTTTATTTTCTGACGCTGCGTGAGTTCCCCGACGCACCGGGGACACATATGTATCAGGGTTTCCGCTAGGATTTTTTCTCGCCGGTCAAATGTCCGGGCAGAATTTATTTTACCGGACACATTTGAAAATTACCGGTCATATTTCAATAATAATAATAAGAGTTGTGTAGCAGAGTTTCCGTTAGCAGGTAATTACCGGACTATGAGCAGATATGCTTCAGTTTAAAACTCAGTTCACGGGGCTCATTTTTATATTGCTTCAGTTTATAATCGTAACAGATCGAAAAATTCAGATTCATTTTTCAATAAATTATTCCACAAACAACAAACAACATAATTATTACATTCAAACAAACTACTTGTAGTAGATAACGTACATTATTCAAAAGTTTACATTAACTTTGAATAATAACACGGGAGAAACGGATCCTCTCTTTTCCCCTCTCCCTCCCTCTCTCTCTGACAGCCCGTCAGTTTCTCATGCAGCTCCTGCAGCTCGCTAAACAGAGGGCGGGGCTTCAGGTGATTATGCAGAGCTGCGTGTCTCGGTCAGACTCAGCAGCTGATCTGATCTCTCTCTCGGGTCCGGTTACACTTCACTCGCGTTTATGTCCATATCGATCAGATCCAGCTCTCCTGATCGGCCTTTATAGAGAGCACCGATCAAACTATTAAGAGTGAATATCGGCCGATAATGACCGGCGGCCGATCTATCGGAGCCTCCCTAATTATTACCAGACATTTTGACCGGCAGGTTTTGAATTTACCGGTTTTTAATACATTTTACCAGCTAAAAACCGGTAATTACCGGCTAACGGAAACCCTGATATGTATGTATAAAAGACATCGCAAAGTGCATTTTGATTTGATAGGTCCCCTTTAAAGGAGTCAGTGGTCTGTGGAGTCCTCAGGTGGTCTGGGAGGGATTTCCACAGGTGAGGAGCAGCTGCACAGAAAGCCCGATCCCCCCGTTTTGTAATGTGTGTGTGTGTTTGCAACGTAGTATTAGTTATTCAATACCATTCAATGTATTCTGTTACCCCAGCAGTGCACACAGTAAAGTAGACAACATCATGCATGAGTGTCTGTGGTGTGTGTGTGAGTACAGACCGTTACCTGTATACGCTCGTTGTAATGATCCAGCAGCAGCACACCGGAGCTCGTCACCTTCTTCGTCTCCACCATCGTCTTCAGGTCAGCCAGCAGCGTCATGTGTTTGGACATATCTGTGGCCAACACCTAAACACGGAGACAGGAAGACACAACCAGAAGAAAGGAAGCACAAAGATGTAACCTAAAATCTTTAACATATCTGTCCAACAAAACAGTAAAAACAAAGATGAGTGAGATTAAAATCAGAGACGAAGTTAAGTAGTTCAGTTGCTACGAGACAAAGAGCAACATGAAAACAAATGATTACATTCTGATTACATATTATCATATAAACTTTGTGTTGCATGTGTGAACTAAGAAAGCGTTTCTAAGAGTGCTAAGTGTAAGTAATGCAGACACAACAAGTTATGGACAAACTAGCATTAAACAGATTGAACATTTTTCAAAAAGATCAGAACTGAACAAAATGAACTTGTAACGTCTACATTACATTTGGATGATGGTTTTATCCAAAGCGACTTACCAGAAGTACAAAAAACATAAAAGATTGAAACTCCGAACAACAAGGAAAGTGCAGATATATTCACTTCAAGAAACTCCTTCCATAGTAAGTGATGGTGAATTAGCTACAAGGCCTAAGCTAACTCTTTAAAGTGCTTTTTCTTTACAAGGTACAATCGAAACAGATGGGTTTCTTTCTACGTCTAAAATAATATGGCCAGAAAGAATCCAAAACAACAACCCTAAAAAATATAATGACATAATGTCCAATAAATCTGAAACGATCAAATTATAAAATATAAGATTCTCAGCGATGGCAGCCCTCAGAAAACCAAATCTACAAAACCAGGGTCAGATAATGGAAAGTTATTTACAAGATTCAAAGGTTTTATTGTCATCTGCACAAAGCTATAGTGCAGAAATGGCAATGACATTCTTCTGACCTGAGCTCCTCCAACAATGCAACATATATAATAAATGACAAAAATACAAAATAAAAAGTAGTTATGTACATAATGTAAGTTTTTTAGTGTGTGTCTGACCAGGTCGATGACGAGCTTGCGGAGGCTCTGCCGCTGCCTCTTGTTCAGGTTCTGGAAGATGTCGCAGTGCTCCTGGTGCAGCAGCTTGAAGCCCACGGCCAGGTGGTGGTTCTCCAGGACCGACTCGTCGTTATACATGAGGGCCAGCTCCGAGTCTGAGGAGGAGGGACCAAGGAAGACGTTAAAAAGGAGGTCGTTTGTGCAAATATTTAGACCGTAAACTGCGTAACTTTTTTTACTATGATGTTTTTTTTGTATCTTTCATTTTTTTGTATGCATGCTTCCTTGGTAACATTAAGCTGTCTTTGGCTCTTTTCTGCTGTAACAATGTACATTTCCCGTGTGTGTGTGTGTGTGTGTGTGTGTGTGTGTGTGTGTGTGTGTGTGTGTGTGTGTGTGTGTGTGTGTGTGTGTGTGTGTGTGTGTGTGTGCTCACTGGTGTTGATGAGGAACTGATTGGAGACTCCGGGATGGTCGACGTCGTGGATCGCTGCAGCGAACAGAGCGGCCAGGATCTCCAGATCAGTGAAGACGGCCTGAGAGAACAGGAGGATGAAGATCACAGAAACTTAGATATGTTCATCCACTTTTTAAAGTTTTTATCCAAAGAACGTCCAGTGTCTGTTGATTTAGAATAATAGGAATATGAGTAAAAACAGCATTTAAACTTCAACAGAACTTCAATGCAGAACTAACAGCGTGTGTTAGTGTGTGTTCGTTTGTCTTTATTTTACTTTTAATCAATTGTATTTAGATACAATCTATACATCTATGTGTCATGTGTGTGTGTGTGTGTGTGTGTGTGTGTGTGTGTGTGTGTGTGTGTGTGTGTGTGTGTACCTACATCTAGAGCAGGTGTGGACAGGAGGACGTGTGTGGACTGAGTGACATCTGCAGCGTGGAGGCTGTTGTGGTACGGTATGTTTCCATGGTAATGGTCCTCCAGGGTCATCACATAAGTGACAAACGTGTCGACGGGGATACGAAACGTCTTCAACAGCTCTCGCTCCTACACACACACACACACACACACACACACACACACACACACACACACACACACACACACACACACACACACACACACACACACACACACACACACACACACACACACACACACACACACAATTATAAATAGGACAATTGTATCCTGCATTAAGATTTACACAATACAAGTTCAACAAAATACAGTATGTATAGCACATATCGAGCACCAGGCTTCACGAGGTAAGTACAAAATAAAGGTAAAATAATGAAAAATAAAAATAATCATAGTTCAAATATAAAGTAAATTCAGAAATAAGCAATTCACATAAAGGAAATCCTTAAAAAGGTTATAACCACCTATATAAACAAATAGGATGCTTATATGATATCCTATAAAGTACATCAAATGCCAATAAATGAACAACTGTTGAAGTGCAACATTTGCATTTAAAACTCTCAAATGATAATATCAAAGATTTCTCAGTTCAATTTAATTATGTTTTAACAAAAGTGATTTGTTAATTGTAGGCCCTCTTGTAAAAGTAAGTATCTACTATGTACTGTATATTCAAAAACAGAAAAGCACTTCAGGTGAGAGCGGTCCGACAGAAACATACCTGGAAGATGGTGTACATGATGCAGCTGAGGGGTCTGTTGTTGGAGAACTCTGCTAAACTGAAGATGTTAAAACTCCACTTATCCAGATCCTCCAACTCCTGATCAAACAGAAATAAATACATATTTTAACAGGGAAATCTTTCAGTACTTTTGAAAGGGTCGTAAGTAACCCTTTCTATATAATTATGCAAATAAATGTAACACTTTAGATTAGTACACCCTACATATCTACCCAGGGCCATCCCTGGCCAACATGAGGCCCCACGCAAAGTTATATGCCCTTTTTTTTGTCTGAGATAGGAATGTCTCTTTTTGTTATTGTAATGTCCATGTTTTGTGTCTGTAGCCTGTACAATAAATAAATAAAAAAAGTTATATGCCCTCTGTTTCGCAAGCGTCGACGGGGTGCTAGGGAGCCTCGCCTCGGCGACACCGTACCGCGCCACACTAATTGCGCTCCATAAGCACATAAGTGCGCCGCATTTTCAGTTGAAGCACCCTCCGCAAGGTGAGGCCCCACGCAGTCTGCATGATCGGCCTGTAGGGAGGGGCGGCCCTGTATCTACCCTAACCCTACTCCTCAACCCCCTCTCACTCTTTACTATCAATCTTATAATGTAGTTGCCTTCATTTGTTCATTCTGTTGGTGTTATATTGATAAGTAGTTAAAGTGTGTAAGGGTTGTAGGATATTGTATCGACGTGTGGCATTTACAAGTGTGCCTTGTTTGCGCTATGTCTGTCTTTTGTGTGTGTTTTTTTCAGTTTGGGTTTCTCCTACACTGACATCTCATTGAATACGGTTTAAAATAAAAATATATTACCTTTTGGGTACCACTTTACAATAAGACAACCCTTATAAAGGATTCATAAAGGGTTTATAAATAGGTTATGAATTAGGTTGTAATAACTTTATTAATCATTAAGAACGATTTATAAACCAGTTCTAACATAGTTTTCATACATCAACACAGGCTCACTATTTGGCAAGATGACTAAGCCTCATATTGGCTACTTAGCGAGAACTCAGTGAGCAACAGATACCAAGGATGCTGGCTGATGAAGAAGACGAAGTAAGCTAGGTAGCCAATATAAGGCTTAGCAATACAGATAAATGTGGGCTCACTATTTGGCAAGCAACCGGTCACAGTTGCCCTGTTTATCTCATGTCTTATAAAAGCTTATTAAGGATTTATAAAGTGTTCACAACCTAATTAATAAATGAATTACAAACTATTCGTAAACCCTTTAGAGGGGTAGTCTTATTGTTAAGTGGTACCACATTTTGTATGAAGTTCATGTCACACAGGAAACCTCCCACTTTAGTCTTAATGTTAAAAGAGCCTCAGCAGTAAATCGCCAACAGAATAGAAGTGAAGGACACACACTTCCTCAACACTAATGGAAGGGACAAACAAGCCAATATTGAAATAACACAAGAGAAAACTCAAATCTACAGAGCCCTAAAGTCATGAAAGAAGACATCATATTAAATGTTAGTGTTGTGTGCGAACCAGAACATAAAGTCAGACTGAAGCATCCTTTGTGCACCAGTCAATCCTCACAGTAAATACAGAGCTAAATCCAGATCAAATAGCACCCTAAAGGGTCTTTTGTTTTCTCTCACTGATTGTGATGTGAAATGTTTTGTTTTTGTTGTTGAGAGGCGTGTGGGGCAGTGGGTTATGCGTTGGTGTTCGGATCTATATTAAAACCCCACTGCAGTCAGCATGTCGTTGTGTCCCTGAGCAAGACATTTCACCCCAAATTGCTCCTGTGGGGATTGTCCACAGTATCGAGTATGTATGATAAAAAGCGTCTAACAAGTGACATGTAATGTAATGTTTTTCATGTATTGTGTCTTGATATTTGTCCATGTTGATATTACACGTGGAGCTGCTGTGATGCAAGTCACAGACACAGAGAAGGAGACAGAGAGAAGGAGACACAGAGAATGAGTCAGAGAGAAGGAGTCAGAGAGAAGGAGACAGAGAGAAGGAGACACAGAGAAGGAGTCAGAGAGAAGGAGTCAGAGAGAAGGAGACAGAGAGAAGGAGACAAAGAGAAGGAGACAGAGAGAAGGAGACAGAGAGAAGTAGACAGAGAGAAGGAGTCAGAGAGAAGGAGTCAGAGAAAAGGAGACAGAGAGAAGGCGACAGAGAGAAGGAGACACAGAGAAGGCGACACAGAGAAGGAGACACAGAGAAGGAGACACAGAGAAGGAGACACAGAGAAGGAGACACAGAGAAGGAGACAGAGAGAAGGAGTCAGAGAGAAGGAGACAGAGAAGGAGACAGAGAGAAGGAGTCAGAGAAAAGGAGTCAGAGAGAAGGAATCAGAGAGGAGACAGAGAGAAGGAGACAAAGAGAAGGAGACAGAGAGAAGGAGACAGAGAGAAGTAGACAGAGAGAAGGAGTCAGAGAGAAGGAGTCAGAGAAAAGGAGACAGAGAGAAGGCAACAGAGAGAAGGAGACAGAGAGAATAGAGACAGAGAGAAGGAGACAGAGAGAAGGAGTCAGAGAGAAGGAGACAGAGAGAAGGAGACAGAGAGAAGGAGTCAGACAGAAGGAGTCAGAGAGAAGGAGACAGAGAGAAGAAGACAGAGAGACAGAGAGAAGGAGACAGAGAGAAGGAGTCAGAGAGAAGGAGACAGAGAGAATGAGTCAGGGAGAAGGAGTCAGGGAGGAGGAGACAGAGAGAAGGAGACAGAGAGAAGGAGTCAGAGAGAAGGAGTCAGAGAGAAGGAGACAGAGAGAAGGAGTCAGAGAGAAGGAGACAGAGAGAAGGAGACAGAGAGAAGGAGTCAGAGAGAAGGAGACAGAGAGACAGAGAGAAGGAGACAGAGAGAAGGAGTCAGAGAGAAGGAGACAGAGAGTCAGAGAGAAGGAGACAGAGAGAAGGAGTCAGAGAGAAGGAGACAGAGAGAAGGAGACAGAGAGAAGGAGACAGAGAGACAGAGAGAAGGAGTCAGAGAGAAGGAGACAGAGAGACAGAGAGAAGGAGTCAGAGAGAAGGAGACAGAGAGAAGGAGACAGAGAGAATGAGACAGAGAGACAGAGAGAAGGAGTCAGAGAAAATGAGACAGAGAGAAGGAGTCAGAGATAAGGAGGCAGACCTTGGCGAGCTCGTCCTCATGGTCTGTGTTGACGCCGAAGCGAGGCATGGAGGAGCTGGAGAGGCTGGAGCTATGGCAGAGTTTCCTCACACCGGTGATGTGACTCATGGATTTATCTTTCAGGGTGGGAGACGGGATCTCCACCTCGTTCTGCTTGTCTGCAGTGACGGGGAAACACAGTCAACTTTATGGTCAATCTTTCAGTTTGTGTGTACAGACAGAGAGATCGAAAAATACGGTTTCCCACAATCCCAAATACAAAAATATATAAAAATACGTATGCAAATATGTATATATACCTATACCTACACAGTCAAAAGACACATGTATACATACAGTATGCACACATTAAGACCTAAGTAAAAGCACGACAATCTATCTATACAAAAATAACAGTATCTTTGAGAATGTACATTAGTGCAAGACTGTCCGTAGCAGCGTTTCTGGTGCTGCTTAGAACACAGTTAGAGTTTATATTTGGAAAATGTGTTACATGTGATCAGATGGAGGTCCTGCTCACCCATGAAGGTGCTGGAGATGTATTCTGACACCTGGTTGCCGGAGCGACTCATCTCTGACAGGTGGGACAGCTCTCTGTTCAGCATCCTCTTAAACTGTGGAGCAACAGGGGCAGAAATACCTTACATACCTGAGGAGGGGAATTGTATTTGCTCCAAATTTGAATAGAATACAATTTAAAAAGTAAGTATTATAATAAAAACACAAAGCAAATTAGAATTAGATTTAGAAAAATCTTATATAGGTGCTTTTATTTTGTTCAAAATGACAATAAAATAAAAATAAAACAAAAAAGTCAGCGAAGAAGAAGAAGATTTAAAAGAAAAAAAATATTATTTATTCCCTGGGGGGATATTGGATTTCGTAACAGTTACTCCATTTTAAAATAATTTTAAAAAAAAGTACATTTCAATGAAAACAATTAAATAAATATAATAAGAAGAATTGAAGGTAAACATTTGCATATTGTACTATAATAATATATTAAACAATACATTTGTAAAAAAATAAATAACAATATACATTTAAATGATAATGATATTAATTCTGAGAAACATATTATTGAGTGTATAATTAATCCTAGAGTGATATTGGTATTGCACAGCCGGATAATATATGCAGAATATTGCAGTTGGATAATTGCTCAGGTTATTATAATCTAAGCAAGTACATATTGCAGAGTTTAATAATTGCCCAGGTTAAAAATAGTGTGTAATTGCAGAGTTTAATGGGCTTATAGCTGCTGATGGGGGAAGTAAGTCCATTGTTTCACTGCTGCTCTCACTTTCTTACCAACAGCTATATTCAATGCAGGTTTTTGGATCAGAAAGGGTTATCCCAGGGTTTAAGGTTAGCGTATCATTACAGCAACATCGTGCTGGTGGAAAGCTGTTTGATTATCCACATCATGAATGAAGCTTTCAAAATATGTTTGTTTATTTTATTCAAACATAGTGACAAAGAGTCGCAGGATATTTGAACAATTAAGGTTACTATTGAATGAAGGTAAGAATAAACACAAAATAGCAAATCATGTAATCAATGCACACACTGGTTTCAATTCCTAAATAAACAACATTCATTTATCTGTTCTACAACAAGTCATATATGTGTATCAGATCAGAATGAGATTCAGGTTTATTGCCAGGTAGGTTTACACATACGTGGAGTTTGCTTGAAGGTAAGAATAAACACAAGAGAGTAAATCATGGTAAATATAAATATAATCAAAACTACAGCAGGAAAATGTTAAAGGTGGGGTAGCTAATTTTGAAGAAACCAGCTCGAGTGCGCTAGAATTAGAAAATACACAACCGGAAAAAATCTGCCACTTCCTTACAGAGTCCCTCCTCCAACACACACGAACGCGCACATGACCAATGAGGGCAGGAGATAAGTTTGTGCACAGATGGAAGGCTGACAGGCAGGTAGGCCATCCAGTTATTTTAGCCGGGCCGGCTCAGATGATTGGTCGTGCTTTTTACAGTACTACGGCTTCCACAGATGAAATATTTTATGTATTTATTGTCAAAGCATTTAATGTATTTCCGATATGCTATCGGGATGTTGAGAGCATTCCATGGAATATAACAAAAAGTGTTTCTGAAATAAATTACATACAGGTCTGTAGTGCCGAGAAATAGGGAGTCAGAGGCGGTTCAATGAAGGTGCAAAAGGGTACTTTATTTAAGAGCTGTTGTCCGGTTGCAGTCCGGGAAGAAGAGAGAGAAGCCAGAAGGGCACACAACATATATAGACAACACATAACATGTCCGCGTGGAAACAAAACCCCAACTGTAGTTCCATTTGTGAACTAGAAAATGCATTTCCTGCAGAAAATGCGTGCGAATGCTGTAAACGGTGAACATTTATGGCTGAATTTAGCTGAAAATGCAGAAAAAGCTGAATATTTTATTAGCTGAATGGTAGCTGCTTTTAGCTACAAAAATGCAGAAAAAGCTTAATATTTAAAAGAAAAGGTTTAAAAAAAGGTATAAACAACAACATGTTTAGCCTTGATGTCCTGAAATAGCTGAATAATATAATGGTTGAATGGGTTATGCAGCTGAAAATAGGCTGAAGGAGTTAAATATCAGATGTAAGTAGTAGTGAATGCATTTGTATTAAGATGAGAAAATAAAGTAAAAAGGCTTGGGAAAGCAGCAGAATATTTTGACTGTAAACTTTTGAACTAACTTGATGGTGAATTATCTGTCGCCATGGCAATGGCATTTGATGACACCCCATAATACGCTTAGATGTGTTGATGGCTGCATCGTTACCAAACCTGTGAAGTTTTGGGCCATTTCGAGTATTTTCACTGAAGTTATGAGAAAACCGTGTTTCATGGTGAGCACTGTGTTGCCATGGCAACAGCATTTGAAGAAATCTCAAAACGTTCCCGTAGATGTCTTCATGGCTGGATTGTTAGCACACATGTGAAGTTCGAGCACTTTTTCAACATTTTCATAGGAGTTAGACATTACATTAGGAGGTTACATTACTCTCTCTCTTCTCTTGATCATTCATCATCATCGGTGTGTGTCTGTGTGTGAGAGAGAGAGTGTGTGTGTGTGTGTGAGAGAGAGAGAGAGAGAGAGAGAGAGAGAGTGTGTGTGTGTGTGTGTGTGTGTGTGTGTGTGTGTGTGTCTGTGTGTGAGAGTGTGTGTGTGTGTGTGTGTGGGTCAGGCAATTGTTACAGCTCAAATGCATTGCAATAATAATAATAACTTCCATGTTAAAAAAAGACTTTAAAAAGCTGAATATTTTAAAAAGTATAACATATTTTGAAAAAGTTGAAAGTTTCCCATCATGTGTTGAAAAGGCTGAATAGTTTGATATTTGAATGGTTCCTGCAGCTGCAATTAGGCTGAAGGAGTTCAATAAAGATATTAAATGTAAGTAGTAGTGATTGAATGTTTACAAACACCTGTGTGTGGGAATCTATTGGGAGCTAGCTGGACTTTTTCTCTCTTCATGCCCTCAAGAGGCATTTTGTTTAATTTTTTTTCTTAATTTTTTTTAATTTTCCAACCTAGGAGAGGTTTTCCTACGTTTTACATGAACACATATGTCTGAGGAGTGTAGGGTTTGGGAATTATGGCAAGTTTAAAATATTTTGGGGGGAGAATTTCAGGCACTGCTGCACTCTGTTTTGAGATCAAAGCACTCTCGACTTAACGAGCTGCTCCATCCACTCTAATGTTAAAATCTGAAAAAGGCCTCTCTACCAAGCTCCAAACTAAATTCAATATCTCAAAAAGTTTAAAAGATATCAAAAATCTGAATAGGAATTGAATAGCTGAAGGTCTTGTGATCATTTGAAAGTTGGAATGAAGTGTCTAGCTGAAAGTATGTGGAAGGAGTAGCATTTGGCGCAAGGTGTAGGAAAACAGGATTTGAAGGCATCTCCCATTGACTTCAATGTTAAAAAAAGAGTTTAAAAAGCTGAATATTTCAAAAAGTATAAAATATTTTGAAAAAGTTGAAGGTGTCCCATCGATTCCTGAACAGGCTGAATAGTTTCATATTTGAATGGTTTCTGTAGCTGGAGTGTCAAAGTATTGGCTGAAATAAGTTTAAGGGGAAGAATAAAGATTTGAATTACTATAGTGGAATGCTGTAAACAGCATTCACACTAATAAAGATTTGAAGTACTATAGTGGAATGCTGTAAACAGCATTCGCACTAATAAAGACATTGAAGTACTATAGTGGAATGCTGTAAACAGCATTCGCACTAATTATGAACCCCAGTGTATTAATGAATGGTCACTACACAAGCCCCCCCAGAATTCAAACATGGCAAAATAAATCCTCGCGTCCATGGAGGAAGGAGCCGTGGACAGATGAGAGGCCAGACAGGTTCCGGAGCGCGCCACCCACGGGCCGATGGCAGCATGACGTCCGAAACCGTCGAGGCGAGACGGGGTCCAGGAGTGCGCCACCCAGGTGCCGATGAAAACGTGAGTGGCGTCTGGAACCGCCGTCGAGGTGGTGAAAAAGGTGAGAGTGCCCACACGAGGTCAATCGGCTGGTCGAACCTCCTCTCCGGCACCGGAAAAAATTGTTAACAGTCAGATGTTAACAGAAATACGTCGACAGCCGTTAACAGCTAGCCGTTAGCCGCTAGCTGGCAGCCATGGGTAGCTGCTAGCCGTCGTTAGCCCCTCGTGGTTATCCGCTAGTCGTCGCCAGCTAGCGCAGCCAGGACGTGCAGCCGCACGCCCTGAAGAAACAAGCCCACGAGGTAGCAATCGGGTTGCTGGTCGACCCAGCAGGTTGTGCATCGTCCCCCTATTGGATGGAAGGCTGATGCGGGAATGGCGAGCAACGTCCCCAGCTCTTCTGCAGGGCGCGCAATAAGCCTCAGTCTGTGTGCCGGTGGCAGCCACGGACAATTCCAAAAAATCCCCGGCATTTCGAGAAAGAAACTTGAGTTCCTTTTGCCGTGTTCGGGTCCGTCCCGGAAACTTCTCGAGACTTGTCGGGGTCACCAGTGTAGTGCCGAGAGATAGGGAGTCAGAGGCGGTGCAATGAAGGTGCAAAAGGGTACTTTATTTAAGAGCTGTAACTAAGGTCATGTTGTCCGGTTGCAGTCCGGGAAGAAGAGAGAGAAGCCAGGAGGGCACACAACATATACTGTATTGACAACACATAACATGTACGTGTGGAAACAAAACCCCAACTGTAGTTCCATGTGTGAATTATGAACCCCAGTGTATTAATGAGTGGTCACTACATACCCCACCTTTAACTTATATAAAGAAAAACGTGTTAAAATCCATAACAATTTCACCCCAATTTCCTCTTGCAACGTGTACTGTGCGCTGATAGTGATGTATCTTTCACCCTGTTGATGGTTTTGATGCACAGCTTGGTTGTTTGATGTTTGTCTCACCTTGTTGGAGGCCATCTCGCTGACGGAGCGGTGCGTCTGGATGGTCTCCAGCTGGTCCAGACACCAGTCCAGCTCCTCCAGAGTGTCCAGAGCCAGCTGCTGGTACTGCTGCTCCGAGAGCGCCTCGCGGGGGCTGAGACACGGCCCCCCCACCGGAGACCGCCTGGGGACACAACACGTTAAAGCATCTATTAAGACTGTTTGTTCTTTAAGATGTTTATTTTAGATTTTTATTTGATTTATTTCGAACGTGTAAAACAATAATACAAAAAATTATAATAATAATTAAATGAAACATAACAATTATATGATACTGTACAAACTTAAGCAGTATCAAATTGATAAACTAAAATATTATTGACTTACAAATTATATATCAACAAATGATCTACCTAATTACACATTCGAAAAGGGGTGGGAAGAAGTTTACACTTATTTGATCCCACCCCTTCTCCCAAAAACTAAATGATTAACATATATTATTTTTCTAAATGTATGTCTGCATACAATATACATTTAAAATTATAAATAGATTATATCATTATTACTACAATATATATACATTATTATTTTACGTTGTATATCATATTTTACAAGTTAAATATAAAAGACTATCTTTTAGGGATGTAACGATACCAAAAACTCACGGTACGATATTTATCGCGATATTGAAAAATAAAGGGAACATTTTTTTATTAAATAATAAATCTTATTTCTACAGCATTTTAATAGGATAGTAGTATTTTAAAGTGTCAACAATATAATAATCAGACCCTGCAATAGAATAAATCAAGTTACACTTTAGTTTTTCAAGTAACTCAACTCTAACTCACTCACTCAGCATCTCTAACTCTAACTCACTCACTCAGCATCATCAAGGTTATCTTTAAGGAATATGAGCATGTCCACAATTCCAGGTAGAAGCTGGGATGTTGTGGAAAAAACTCTCTTGCTTGGTACTGATGTTGCTGGGACAGAGAGATATGCTTTGGCCATGGGTGACAGCAGTGGGTAAAACTGTGCATTGTCTCTCCACCACTTCAAAAACAATACCGTTTTTGCCAAGAAGGTGAGGCTTATTGACAGGGCGAGATATAAATATACTGTTGGTACTTGTCAATGTACTCTAGGTGTGTAAATGTAGCCCTGTAAATACGATGTCCTTTTGTGTTATCTGTTGTTTTATGTTCATGTTGTAACCTACTTGCTGCCATGTTGGACAGGTCTCCCTTGAAAATGAGATTGATGATCTCAATGGGACCATCTGGTTGAATAAAGGTTTAAAAAAAAAATTATTTAATAAATCGCGGTAGATGTTGTCAGTCTCACGACGGTATTGAGACATTTATTTACCGCGATACCGCGATATTCGATATATCGTTACATCCCAACTATCTTTTTATATCCCCCATCCAAAATACATTTGTAAAAAAACAAAAAACATGTTATCAATACAAATTCCATATTTAGTTTAAGCTTAAAGATTGTTTTTAGTTTTGTGATTAAAAGTGTTTTTCTTTTTTACCTTCATACTGTGAGTATCCAATAATGTGTAAAGTGACGGGACGCTGCGTACAGTTTAAGGATGATAGGATGAATACAATGGTGCAATATGGTGCATACTTAATGTGCTGATACTTACAAAAAACTACTGCAATTATTTAACTATTGTATTTAAGAAAATCCTACACATTAACCAAGAAAGGTGTGACACTATCTGAAATGTTTTGGTTTATTTTTCTTCATTCAATATGACGTGTATCAAAGCATGAATTGGGAAAATAATCATCTGTACAATTTGAACGACCCATTGCTTTTGGTTTGGTGGTCACGTGCACAGAGAGTTAGAAACCACGGCTAAAGTTCTGTATGAAAGCTGGACCAGATTTAACAAGTTACCTTCAAAAGTTACTGCAGTCATAAAATGTGAGTATGAGTGTGACATGAGATGCATGTTTATAATAATAGGGAAGCTGTATCTTCATGTTTCATATGCTGCAGGTAATTAGATTGTTGTTGTAAGCAATCTCTTCGATGTGAAACCAAAAATGACAACATACTAGCTAGCACAATGAGCCTGAATACATTTCAGGAGAATGAGTTGGTACTGACTTGACTGGTGAGACGTTGGCAAGAATGGTGAAGTTGCTCCGTACTGATCGCAGACTGGCCAACACCTAAATAATCACAAAGCAGAACAGATAATCAAAGAGGACTTTACATGAAAGTGTATTCACTTCCAATTAGAATGCACACACTGGTTTCAATTCCTAAACA